AAGCAGCACTGTCTGTTTTTAAATTTTTAAGTTCCTTCAAATGATGAAAAATAAATAAGAAACAATGACTTTATGATTTCAATAAAATTATGTGACTGCAAATATTTGTCTAAGACATATTAGATGTCTCAGTGCAGCATACATATGATGTAATTATTTCAGATTTGTCATTTTTAGTTGCATTGACAATCAATGGGTGCGCATGTCATTGTGCTGTCTGTCTGTCAGTTCAACTGTCTTTTTGTGCTCCTAGCTCAACAGTAGAACACATCACATGATATAACGATACGTAAATGTAAAGTTTTTTTTCTTTCTTAATTTAAAATTCATTTCTGTTTAGGAGTCACTTAGTAGTGAATTTTTATTATGAATTATATCCTGCATAATTTTTAATTGCCATATTAATTGATTCTGCATGTTTCTGAAACAACACATCTAGAATCTTCAGTATGTAAATAAACCGGAAAGCTTAGAGTGTTGCGTGTAGTCATTGTGTAAATTATGAAATCTTATTATTTGGTTTCAGCATCTGAGCCAATGTCACCAAACTATGGTATGAGGAGACCTTCTTTTGAAGTAAGTATTCATATGAAATAATGAGTTTAGTACAAGAACACCACAAAACATGAAAGACAGTACAATAAGAGTACCATATCATAGCGGAGGTCCATGCAGCTGTGTACTGTCTGAGTGTGTACTTTGCGGTATTCTTCTAATATATCTTTATTATTTCACATTTTCCTTATTGGAATTTTCTAGTTTAATTAGTATTTCCTTCTCACATGCATAATTTACTCTTCTGTAAAATGCTGTATGGACGTGTGCAAATGTCTTCCTTATTTTGTAATTGTGCATCAAGTTTATGTCACTATTGAAGTCTTCCCTTTTCAGACACAAGTACTATCAACAAATGATGAAAATTTCATCATTTAGCATTTTGCAATGTTGTGTTGTTAACTCTCATTAAATTATAACAACAAGCAGAGAAAACGTGTTTATTAAAAATGACTGCATCCAGACAGTACAGTAGCGTCATCCGCTACACATCAATCTATACAATCACGTACTGCTTTCGTGCATACTTTGTTGTATTATCGTAATAACCTTAACCATTAACCATTAACCTTTCAGAATGAGCATTTTGAAGCTGATGACAGTGAAAGTAGTAGAAAACCATGGATGAGATCACCAAAGAGAAACAATACAACTCCACCAAGGGACAAAAGAAGAGATTTCAGTAAGTTAACCAGTCCATTGAAAAAAATATTCAGTAAGTTAATCAGTCCATTAGGAGAGATTTCAGTAAGTTAATCAGTCCATTAGGAGAGATTTCAGTAAGTTAACTAGGCTGTCGACAGTCCTGGGGCCTAATGTAATAGCCTTTCCTAGACATTCATATGCCGAAAACGTTTGATTGGAAATGCAAACCATTTCACGCGAGGGACTTTAGTCCCAAAAGACTGTCCCCGTCTGCAGGTTTCTAGTTGATATGAATAATTCATAGTTGATGCAGTCGTCACGAAATAAATTACATTAACATAATGCATGCAAATTTATTCTAAATGACCCCCTGAATGCGTTGGTTGTTCACGTCAAGATTTCAAGTTGTTAGTGACATGATATCAAAAACTGCTGTGGGAAGTGTCGCGATCGCGTATAGTACAGTCAAAACAAACTTCACGTAAGTCGTGGGCGATCCACGTAGCTGGCGATCCCTGACCCTTTTCATCATTGGCCACGATAAAATGATAGACATCTGCGCGACTATTCATTTGCATATGAAAGTACCCGGATCTGGTAAGAAATCTTACCAGTGAATTGCAGCACCGGACAGTCGGTCGTGCCTAACAGCACTCCATACTTCCAGTCCCAGTGTTCGCAATTTGATCGTGCCTATTACGTTTATATACACAATATTTATTAATAATAACAGATTAATATTAAGTACAACCAGTCCATTAGGAGAGATTTCAGTAAATTAACCAGTTCATTAAGAGAGATTTCAGTAAATTAACCAGTCCATTAAGAGAGATTTCAGTAAATTAACCAGTCCATTAGGAGAGATTTTAGTAAGTTAACCAGTCCATTAGGAGAGATTTCAGTAAATTAACCAGTCCATTAGGAGAGATTTTAGTAAGTTAACCAGTCCATTAGGAGAGATTTCAGTAAATTAACCAGTTCATTAAGAGATTTCAGTAAATTAACCAGTCCATTAGGAGAGATTTCAGTAAGTTAACCAGTCCATTAGGAGAGATTTCAGTAAATTAACCAGTCCATTAGGAGAGATTTCAGTAAGTTAACCAGTCCATTAGGAGAGATTTCTGTAAGTTAACCAGTCCATTAGGAGAGATTTCAGTAAATTAACCAGTTCATTAGGAGAGATTTCAGTAAGTTAATCAGTCCATTAGGAGAGATTTCAGTAAGTTAACCAGTCCATTAGGAGAGATTTCAGTAAGTTAATCAGTCCATTAGGAGAGATTTCAGTGAGTTAACCAGTCCATTAGGAGAGATTTCAGTAAGTTAATCAGTCAATTAGGAGAGATTTCAGTAAGTTAACCAGTCCATTAGGAGAGATTTCAGTAAGTTAACCAGTCCATTAGGAGAGATTTCAGTAAGTTAATCAGTCCATTAGGAGAGATTTCAGTAAATTAACCAGTCCATTAGGAGAGATTTCAGTAAGTTAACCAGTCCATTAGGAGAGATTTCAGTAAGTTAACCAGTCCATTAGGAGAGATTTCAGTAAGTTAATCAGTCCATTAGGAGAGATTTCAGTAAGTAGACTTTCAGTAAGTAGACTTTAATTGAGAACACCAGGATTGACTGGAGACCTAAATACATTTTTTTAACAACTTAATCCAAATAAAAAAAATATATATATATACATGCTATACTCTAATTGTAAGAAACTTGTTTTTGTGTGCAGATGCTTTCTAATTTTTCCAAAACTCTTACGCTGATGAAAAGCTGTGACATAATGCACTGATGCACACAGTGACCGGAAACATTTGATATTTTTCTGTGCCCTACAATGTGTGAAGAAAGAAATGAAACAACTTTATATTTTTGTAGGAAGTCCCAAATCTGGTGATGATCGTTTACAGACATTTGGTAAATCTCCTACCACTGTGAATAGTCCTCATCACAGTCCATCACCACCAGCAACAGTCAAAGGTCAATCCATGACAGACAAGACATCACCATCAAATAGATACTTTATAGTCAAGTGTAACAGTATGAAGAATCTGGAAACATCTCTGAATAAAGGAATTTGGTCAACCACACCAACAAATGAACAGAAGTTTAACCAAGCTTTCAAGGTTAGTAGTCATTTTTTAATTGACTTTGATTGCTTGCATGTGACTGTGTTGTTGATACAATTATGCTCATACATGTAAGCAGTATGCAGCTTTGGGTTGATATTTTACTACAGTACTCATTTCGCCCAACCTCCCGCCCGCTTCCGGATTTTGAACGCTTTTTTTTCGCTCGCTTTGTTCAATTCGACCGCGCAATTTCCGCTTTTTTTTCGACCGCGCAAATCCGGAAGTGTCCGCTCGCTCACTCGCTCGCCTGACAGCGCAACCGCCCGCATTTACAGTTCATTACCTACTGTTTCATGTACAAGTGTATCATTTTTGTTTTTATGATGTTAAAATAGAAATAAGTACAATCAGAAATTTATAAACTGACCGTTGAAAAAATGCGGTGGATCACACGG